GATGGCTGCCCCATCCCTGGAGGTGTTCAAGGCCAGGTTGGACGGGGCTTGGAGCAACCTGGGCTGGTGGGAGGTGTCCCTGCCCAGGGCAGGGGGATGGAACGAGATGATCTTCAAGGTCCCTTCCAACCCAAACCATTCTATGGTACCATTCCATGTACCCTTCTCCTAGAGCAGGCAATCTCCTGTCTTATTTTTACATACAGCTGCCTGCATGCAAACATAAATTAATTTCTTAAACCTTTCTATAGCTGCACGTGAATATAAATGCAACCTCTGAACAATAATCACTTGAGAGTAATCAGTGAGTAATAATTAAGTTTTCAAACAGGCACCACAGTGGGCCTTGGTGGAGGGAAAGGGAAGCCAAGAAGTAGTCTCAGCATAACCTAGACAGTTCTGTGATTCTGTGATTAACTCGGGATGCAACTTGGGCAGCACAGTGCTCCTGCGGGCCATGCTGAGGAGCCTGCTCGGAAGGCTCACCCAGCACAGAGCGGACACACTGTGCTGCATACTCTGGAGGTCACACACTCATTAGGATTTTTGTCAGCAGAAAAAAAAACGTTTAAGCCCTCCCCTTCCGCTTCTGGTTGCTCATTTCCACCATCTAGGTATGTCCCCACTTAGGCCAGTACAGTAGTTTCTGCAATCATAAAGGAAGCCATGATCAGAAACAAAGAAAGCCATCAGAAATATACCACCCAAACAATTCACTAGCTACCACTGAGAAAATCACTTTTGCTCCGTTGGATTAGAACTCAGAAGAAGAAAACTAGCTGCTGTTGGAGGACATCACCATTTAGGTGGAGGACATCACCATTTAGATACTTGTGAGCATGACCACACGGTGGACTGGATGCTTAGAATGTAAAATACCCATCTCAGGCGTAAACATTTTCTTATTATATTGCAATTTATTCAACAGTCCTAGTAAGTACTGTTCGGCTAAGTAAATATTGCCAGTGTGAACACTGCTTGAGATTACTATAAGCTCTCACATTTTTTTCAGACTGTAATACCGATCAGCTTGTTTTTCCACAAAAAATGACCCAAAACTTTTTTTTCCCCCTGAAGTTATTTAATCCTCGACACGAAATAGGGAAGGGGGGGTGGCTGGGGGGAGAAGCTCTACTTACATCTGAATGTAATTCCAGAGTGAGTTGCTTTCAGCAGAGGTCCCAGCAGCCACTTGATACTTTTGTACACCCAGATCACATGCAGATCAAACACGGATTTGCAACCTGCAAAAAAGACAATGAAGAATGTTTCCCTCCCAACAGACACTAGGCGTACTGAAAATGTAGCTGCTCCGTGATCAATGACAGAAGTTTAGACCCAACAAAAGACAGGTTAAATCTAGTAACAAACAACAAATCCAAAAAGCTCCCAAAGGCTCTCCTAATTAGGTCTCAGAAACTATGTGTTCTGCCTAAATTTCTCCGGCAGTCCCATCTGCAGGAAGCATCTAAAAGACGTAATTTATTCCTGTCAGTACCTAATTTTTGAGAAAGGCAGGACGTTAGACACTGCCTTTTCCCAGATCATCTAGAGACTCACACTAGCAGCTCCTGCTCAGTAAACCAGTTTGGATGAGCATCCCATGGAGGCAGAGAAGTGGCAGTGCTGCGCTCCAGACTATTCAGCACAGGGCTGCAGCATCGAACCCACAGGCTTCCAGGCCTCTTTGTTAGATTTAGCCCTGAATTACCAAAAACATAAAGGGAAAAAATAAAGCTGTCATAGTGTTATAGCTGTATTGCATACATGCAGCAATCGGGAAACCACTGCCACTTAACCTGAGCAGCACAGCGGGGGAGCCTCAGCAAGGCATGGCTGCGGCAGGATGAGCTCCTACCCTACACGCGATGGGAATTAGAACAACAAATGGAAAACTAAAGTAGTAGTTTGATCTGGAAGAGGTGAAAAGCCGTTACTGTGAATTTTTAAATTCTATTAAGTAGATTGCTACAGGATGGGCAAGCTAAAAAGCCAACCCATTTAGAAGGTTTTATGTATACTTTCTTGATTATCTACTTTAATTCGTCATTATCTTAAAACAAATAATGGGTATTCCCTAACCTCTCTCCTAATCTTTTCTTAATTGTTAAGAATCTCTGAGGAAGACAGAATTGAGAGAGCCATTTGTAGAAAATCTTTTTGCCAAGATAACATTCACAGTAATTCCTTAATATTTACTTTATAGGCCTTTAACTATACCATTACCAGAATGTAGTTGCCAGTTAAATATTAAGTTCCCCTGTGGAAAAGAATAAATGTACAGTATTGAGGGGTTTGTACAACTTTGTGTTGTATTTCAAAACACTTTCAAAAAAGTGTTCTGTTGAACCATTGGAACTGTGTTGCAAACACACCGGTGGCTGACTTCTGCAGTGTTCTGCCCCTCTGCTCCGCTCTGGGGAGACCCCACCTGGAATATCGCCTCCAGCTCTGGGGCGCCCAACATAGGAAGGACATGGACCTGTTGGAGCGGGTCCAGAGGAGGCCATGAAGATGCTCCAAGGGCTGGAGCCCCTCTGCTGGGAGGACAGGCTGAGAGAGTTGGGGGTGTTCAGCCTGGAGAAGAGAAGGCTCCAGGGAGAGCTTATTGTGGCCTTTCAGTCCCTAAAGGGTCAACAGGAGAGCTGGGGAAGGGCTTTCTACAAGGGCATGGAGTGATAGGACGAGGGGCAATGGCTTCAAACTGGAAGAGGGCAGGTTTAGATTAAATATTAGGAAGAAATCTTTTAGGGTGGTGAGCCCCTGGAGCAGGTTGCCCCGAGAAGCTGTGGCTGCCCCATCCCTGGAGGTGTTCAAGGCCAGGTTGGA